ATATTTTCAATGTCAAGGAGGAAGAAAAGAGGCTCATAAGAAAGTCAGGGAAGTTGCCCCGAGTGGCCACATTCTCTGAGCAATGTGCCTGGGTAGACAGGATCTAGTCTTCCTGAAATGCATGCTCCTTTCATAATGAAAAAATCCCTCAGATTTTTCTCAGCACTGGTAATTGCTCACATTTCTCCATTAGTGTTTGTGACTTTTTTGTATATGACTTTTGTCTCTTTTGTCCATCACTGTACCCTAAATACCACAAGCAGCACCTGGCCCATAGTTTGCACTCAATCAATACTTGTTGAATGAATGACTGTTCCAAGTGTTGTCATAGGCTCTAATACTTTACAGATGCTACTTCACTCAAATCTCAACAACTCGAATAACACAAATACTGTGTACACCCCAGTTTACAGATGAGAAAACTAACCAGAGAGAAGTTAAATAATATGTCCTGGATCACACATCCAGAGATGGAAGACTCAGAATTCCAACCTGAGTCATCTGTTTACGCCGTATGGATTCTTGATCAATTGTACACTGAATCTCATTATCTTAGAGGGTCAATAGTTTACACTTACTGTACACCAAAACATAACCAAACTTATTCTGTTCCAAATATTTCGTGGCCAGACTGATTTCCCTGCTTCTAGACTGTTCACTGTAAATATCCTGACACACTGAAAAGATTACCTTTAAGATTTGCAGTTCTCTGGCCACCCTTTCAGCTGTCTGTGTCTAAGTCCACCAGCAAAGTTGGAGTTGACCAATCTGAAAAATTAGCCTGCAAAATGCAGCTAGTGACACATCTCAGGATATGGCTATGTTTTCCGTGCTGTGGGGAGTCCTTACCTTCACCTGGATGACCAGCTTGCACTCATAGAGGATGTGTGGTTTCTCTTTCAGTGTCTTTGAATGAGTTCGGTTCTGAAGACAGATGTTCTATCACTACCTCCAGAGAAATAAGTCTCTTCTGTTTGTGCTTACAAGTGGGCTGTGTAGCTAGGGCCTCATGGCTTACCCTCCACTCTATGTTGCAGCTAACGAGCCAAAACCTGACCCTGAAGTACTCACTCAAAGAAAGGGAGAATAGGCCAATGGCTGTGAGTGCTCCCTCCTGAGCCGATGATGGCTGACAATAGCTCTTGTAACATGGGCACTTGAATTAGGGGCTGGACTGAGACGGTACAGGCAGCAGAGTGGCTGTAAAACAATGTGATTACTTTCAGCAGTGATAGAATTGGACCATATGAGCTATAGGTTATAAACTCTATAACCCATTAGTGCTTCTCAGCTTTATCCATTTTCCTTATGAGGGTTGGGTTAGCTTTTTTGTTTTTTTCCTAATGGGTTACCTTCACCTTAAGGCTGTCTGTTTTAAAGTTTTATAACTATCTCATTTGCAGTAAACTTCATTTATGTTCCAGGAAGGAGGCTTGGACTTGGAGCAAAATAATCCAAAACAATACTAAAAGTAAGGATTATAATCTACCTCCAGGTCTTTCTTGAGTAATTGTCAGATACAGGCAAAGAAGAACAGGTTATTTTCACCCACAGAATTCATGCACCTCTGAAAACAATATGAACTGAGTAGTAACACCAGCAATAACTATTTGTATTTTGGACATGTTCAATGCATAGAAATTAGAGAAGAGAAATGTATTACAATGTAACAATCTATAGCCATTAAAATAAAGTATTCTGTCTAAAAGTTGGCCCTAACTATTCTCCTCTAGCTTTTTTGCACCAACTGCCAAAACATCTAGGAGAATAATTTAGAAAGTGAAGCCAGAGAAGGGCTAGAGTTGATTCAAGACCTTATGAAATAAAATGTACAGAATACAGAGAGAAAGAAACACTTGCATGCTCTAATCAAGATGTAATTATTTGTATATCACAGAGAACGTGAACTCTTGCCATCTTAAAAGTTGCATGTCCAGCTATGCCAATTAAAAAGAAAAATATTAGGTGTGTTTGGGGCACAGGAGCAGTTTTCTAAGGAGGGGTTTATAACTTCATCAGATTCACATAAATGGTTATAATGTGAAGAGTTTATATATAAATAATTGCTGTAGCAGAGGATTTAGTCTTTTGTACATTGACTTCTGCCTGCTAGTCCTTTAGCCAGGATGCCTGAATGGAATGTTTAGATTGCAGCCAGGCTTCCAACTTCTGGTGAACCAGGGAGATCTGGATCTGGGGTGAATAAGCTACATACCCTGTAGGAGAAACATAACTTCAAATGGGACAACATAAATAAACTTCTCCGGGTGTTGTCAAGTACACAGAAGAAATACATTTAATTGTAGCCTACTGTTGCCCTAAAAAATTTATTTCCCTCACCTGGCGAGCAGGTCACTGTCAGAGATACTCCCAAGCCTCATTCTGAATTCTTCTTTTTTTTTTTTTTGAGATGGAGTCTCGCTCTGTCACTCAGGCTGGAGTGCAGTGGCGCGATCTCGGCTCATTGCACAACCTCCGCTGCCCGAGTTCATGCCATTCTCCTGCCTCAGCCTCCTGAATAGCTGGGACTACAGGCGTATGCCTGTATTTTATTTATATGATACGTCATTCCTCCTCCTCCAAAGGATTTGAAGATGCAAACCTTTGTGTAAGCAGTAGTTTCACTGGGCTTAAAGACAAGGCTAGAGCAAGGATCATAGCTACTTTGAAACTACAAATGTCTATGAGAATCAATTGATGGTCATGAACCCTTGTGGCAGAACAATGCACACTTGCCTCAAGTAGACTGTGTAATTACTGAGGATGGGTTTCTAGATTCTCATGACTCATCTATGTGTTCATGAACCTCATGTTCAGAATCTCTGCTTCAGATGAGGGATTCTCAACCTTGGCACTATGGGCATTTGAGGTTGGAAAACTTTGTTATGGGGCTATCCTATCCATTCTAGGACATTTAACTGCATCCCTGGCCTCTACCTAGCAGATGCCTGTTGCAACCTGTCATCTCATTTGTGATAACCCAAAGCCTCTTCAGACATTGAGACATTTCCTATCCCCAGTTGAGAACCACTGAGCTTCAGAGACCACAGTGGAACTTTATGAAATCACCTCCGAAGTAGAAGGAGGTTCTCATATGCCCCCAATGTGACCAGGCTGTCTAGATTGGAAAGCAGAACAGGAGTCCACATTTGGGTGACATTTTCATATTCATGTCCTCACTGTAGCTTCACAACAACCCAGTAAAATAAGTGACCACAAACGCAATGAGTAATGTCTTAATCTGTTTGTGCTGCTATAAAAAAATACCTGAGACTGGGTGGCTTACAAAGAACAGAAACATTTCTCACAGTTCTGGAGTCTGGGAAATCTAAGATCAAGGGGCCAGCAGGCTCTGTGTCTGGCTGAGGGCCTTCTTGCTGCATTCTCACACAGTAGAGGGATGAATGCTCTCACGTGGTAGAAGGCAGAAGGGCAGAAAGGGCTTAAGCTAGCTCCCTCCAACCCTTTCAAAAGGCACTAATCCATTCGTGAAGGCAGAGCCCTCATGACTTAATCCCTTCTCCCAAAAGTGCCCCACCTCTTAATAGCACTGCAATGGGGTTTAAGTTTCAGCATGAATTTTGGAGGGGACACACATTCAAGACATAACAAGTAGCAAATCCAGGTTAAAGGCAAATCTGCTTCCAAATCCAATGTGCTTTCTAGGAAGTATGGTAAGGTGATTGGACTATAACTGGAAGAGCTGAAGTTTTAGTTAGGGTTCTGGCTCTTAAGCAGTCACACAAGCATTTAAACTGTGACTCAGCTCTGTGTTGCTCAGTGGGAGCAGTGCCTCTGTACGGCAGGAAATATGCCTCTGCCCGTTTCACGGCAACCTCACAGGAACAGAAGAGAGACTGATGAGTGACAGCACTTTAAAGACTACCAAAGCCAGTTCAAATGTAAGGTGTTATTAAATTGAAAAGTATCCATTAGCCTATAAAAAGTACATGGACATCAGCACTCTAAAATTGTCTTTATGAATAGAATCTTGAGAAATGATGACACTTGTAGAATATTAAAAACTGAAATGGCTCAGGGATTAGCTGTCACACTTAACATTAATTTCCTCTGAATAGTCCGGTAGAGCAAGCCTATTCAAGACCAGTGATAAGTGTTCCAAAAGGAAGTCACTCTAAGAAGAAATAAAGTAAGCTAACAATAGCTGACTATTCTTTTTTGGTAACTCCCAAGCCCTTCGTTGGATTTTGAGTACAACAATGATGCTGTTGGAGTAGAATAAAAATAACCTGATGTGGATCTATAAAGAAATGTTACATCTTGCTTGTGCTTAAAAATGAAAAGCCCACACGACTCTGTAAAATGGGTTTACACCCAGGTGAACCAGTAGTAGTAGTGAGTTTTGCCTCCTAAGATGGTTGGTTACTGAGCATGCCAATGACAGTCACATCACTGTCAAGGTAATTGGTTATTTCTACAAAACCCTTGGTGGGAGTCAGATGCTGTCACATCTATGGTGAGCTTCCGGGGTGAAGTGGCATGAAGGCCATCATCAGCCATCCAGACATCAGATGTCATCTTCTGCTCCCTCTTCCTAAGGCTGTGGCCTCTCCAGAATGATAATTGGTATCATTCTTACTCAATTGCTATTTGGAGCCCACGAGGACAGGAAAACTATGCTCAGCCCCAGAGGTCACTCGCCTGGCTAATTTTTCACTAATTATGTCTTAATTGTATTGCGTTAGGATAGAGGAAAAAAGCATTCTCTTCCAGAGTTTTATGAAGGTCACTGGACTTGATAAAAGTGCAGGGTTACCAGGACTGAGGCTCTTGACAGTGGTCAGCACAGGTGCGTCCTACTGGAACCAGTCAAGTAGCAGCACAGCTAAAATCCAATTTTGCAAAAGATGAAACCTTTTAGTGAGGAAGAAGAACAGCAGATAAGGAGATGCTAAATGAATGAGAATAGGTGTGTCACGGAGTGATGGACGTGCATCACGTTTTCTGACGTGCATAGAAGACAGTACTATGGCACCAACTTTGGGGAAAAGAAAAAGCTTTATTGCAAGTCAACTGGCAAGGATGCAAAAGTGTAACTGTGAGGGAGACAGGAAGATGCAAGGAGGCATGATTTGATCAGATCATGCAAAGAGGCGGTGACAAGTGCTTGGCTAAGTCCGCACTGCTATGAAACGGGGCTCCTCTGCTTCTTAATTCAGTCCCTGCTCCTTGATCCAAGTTCTTAGGCTTCAACTGTGGTTGACGTTTTGTTTCTGGACAGCACTGAGGTCACAAATTGGGCATACTTGGTTCATCTGGGCAGGCGCAGGTTACCTGACTTGCAACCTGGGATCCCTTACAGGAAAAAACAACTCATTATTTTATTACATTTTATTTTGTTACTGACAAAGTCAAACCAGATTGAACTGGTTCTGCAGTAACAGGTGGACTTGACCCACAGATGGCTACAAAAGTTACAGAAATAATAACAAAACAACCTTGGGTGAGACTAGATTATGAGGCTTATCGAAATGCAGCTGGATAAAGACTAAAAAGGAACCAGTCTGAGCATTGTACAGCCAAGGTGGGCTGGGATGTTATTTAAGACTTAATGACCCGGACTTTGACGCCCGTCCTTCTATCAGAGTAGTTTGAATATATTGTCAGAGCCGTGGAGTCAGAACAAAGGCTGGAGGAGTGAGGTAGCACAGGAGGGTGTAGAGTTTCCACTGAGAGGAACTGATGGTCTCGCCGTCACTCGTCCTGAAAAAGGGCTCTGTACTGGGGCAGAAAATAAGGACTGGGGAAGGACACATTAGGAGGGGAAATGGAGCCTGGAGTTAGTTTGATTTTCTGGTGAGGCGTGAGGATGCTGGGGTGGTGGTGCGGTACTAGCGTCAACGGCTCAAGATAACTTGGGGTTGGGTGGAAGTTATTCTCTCCATTGTTATTCTTCACTGCTATTTTTGAAGCTTCAGTAAAGTCTGATCAAAAGTGTGGCAAGTTAAAATTCTGAGAAAATAAGAACTTCCCCCCGCCCCCCCACATTATCTTTTGTTGTATTTACCTTCTACCCATTAAAGCAATGATCCCCACTGCTTCAGGGAAGGACAGACACGCCAAGAATAAAGATATCAATGGAATGTGTGAGTGTCATTTTTTAAACTGATAACCGAGATGCTGAAAGCTGAAGATGTGTCTTGTGAGACAGAGGTTTTTTGAGGCATAGGACGGTTTGTAAGCACCAAAGACTGGGACAACTCATGGCCTAGTTAGACCATTAGGTGTGAGGAATGCATGGTGACATCTCAGCTATGTCCTGCCCAGAAGAAGAAAAAGTTCAAGCAGCTGATGCAAAAAAAATTCCAGAGGGGGCGGGTGCGGTGGCTCATGCTTGTAATCCCAGCATTTTGGGAGGTCGAGGAGGGCAGATCACCTGAGGTCAGGAGTTCGAGACCAGCCTGGCCAACATGGTGAAAACTCATCTCTACTAAAATACAAAAACTCACTGGGTGTGGTGGCGGGAGCCTGTAATCCCAGCTGCTCAGGAGGCTGAGGCAGGAGAATCACTGAACCCGGGAGGCGGAGGTTGCAGTGAGCCGAGATATGACACTGCATTCCAGACAGAGTGAGACTCCGTCTCAAAAAAACAAAAAAAAAAAAGAAAAAAAGAAGAATTCTAGGGGGAACATGAGCAGGGCACATACACTAGTGAGTGTCTAAGAAAGGACCCTGCCCTCTGACACCCCTGGATGATGCTCCAGGGGAAGAGGGAATAGCTAACGCCCGAACTGGGGGAATCACGGAAATAAAGCCTGAGAAGGCAGCTCATTTTGAAGTCAAGGGCATCCCCCAGCCAGCCTGCTAACCAAGCGTGGCTTGCAGAAACACCAGCACGGTGTTTTAGAAGAAAGGAGCTGAACGTCTATCTCCTCTGTGCTCTGAGTCTCTCCCAGCTCCAGAAGGGTGAGAGTATGGCAGAGTGAATTATTTGCTCAAAATATTTCCTTCCCGTGGAAGCTGTTCCTTTCCCTGGATCCCAGTGATAAGAGCTTCGAGCACACCCATAGCTGATGTGTGGCTGAAGAATAAACCTTTATTATTGTAAGCCATTGAGGTTTTAGCAGGGAGGTTTACGTTGCCTTAGAATAACCTAGAAATAAAAAAGAGGTAATATGCTAAGCCCTCCAAAAGCTTGCCAAGCCCCCATGAGGGACAGCAAAGGACGGGGGGCTTGAGGATACATTCTGGTTATGGACAGGGAGGGCTAAGTGGAAACAGAGGCACCTGAGTAGACCTGAAAACCAAAATGCAGTAGGAACGCAGAAGTTTCACTAGGTGAAGCGCCGTAGCATTCAGTGAAAAAAATGCACAATTGGATGTTACATCCGCAAAGGCTGCAATCCCGAACTGAGCTAAATAATGGATAAATAGATGTTCCTTCCCCCGAATGCCTAGGTGATGCTTAGATTACCCACGCGGAGAGGTCATGAGCAGGGAAAGGAAAACATCCTGAACTTTTTACCCAGAGTAGAGTGAGAAATACTTAGTAACATCGTTTATATTCAATTGGCAGTAACAAGTTTTCTGCAGAAATGGGGGCTCAAGAACTAAGTGCAGTTATAAAGTTTCATTTTTACACACTTGATTTTGTGACTATAAAATTCACATCCTCTAAAATTCACATCCTCTGGCAGGTGCTGTGCTGTGGGGGATGAAAGGGTGGGGCCTTCTGTTTGCCCATGGCTAACAGAAAGAAGCTGAGAAGAGGGGGCCTCCCTCCCTCCTTCCCCCCTTTCCCCCACCGCCTTAGGCTAGCCAGGAGTTGAAGCGGGGTTTCTGTGGGAGGAGGGATGCCCGGCTCCCCACAACATGGGGAGCACCAGTTGCAGAAGCAGCAGCACCAGGTGGAGCCTACGGCAGGTCCCCAGGGATCCCTCATCCCTGCAGAACACTTTGAGAGACCAATTCCTAGCAATCAACTTGATAGACTGGGGCCACAGTCACTTGGCTTACATGGTGATGCTCGCTGTAATTCATGCAGGGTCTAGGAAGTACCGTGCACTATGAATATGTAGAAGGTTTGACTTTTCTTGCCATTTACTCAAGTCTTTAGGACATTATAGCACAATTTATTTTTCTGGAACTCAACCTCCATTTCCAGCCCCATACTACTTGATGGTAGAAAATGTAGTCTTGGGCAACTATGATTTTCTCCAGCATTTCAGGCCCAAAACAACATTTCCTCTGGGCCCACTTTCCCTTTGGGGTGCCGCATGGCCACAGACATCCCTCCAGGTTGAACCCTCTCTGATACATCCCACCAGGCCCTCCACCACAGGACTTCTGCAAGCCCAATGCCCTCTCTTGGCCTATCCCTCTCTGGGGCAGGAAAAGTGTTCCAATGATCCACCTTTCCTAAGGCACAGAAGACTCAGGGCTGTCCCTGTTGCCTTCATCCAGGGCTGCCCTGCCACAATCTGCACTCTACAGCTCCCCCGGTGGCCCCCATGCAGAAGTGCAGAGAGAGCTAGGGCCCTGACCACTTCCTCCAACCTCCTCCACACAGGGAGCCCAAGGTCCCTCTGCCCAAGGATTCCCAAATCGCACATTCTATTAGTGCCACCCCCATCCGTGTTGGCTCAGTGGGCCACCAGTGCATCACCAAGTCCCTTGTTTCTTTCCCGATGCTTCCCCCACCACTTCAGAGGAGTTTTATTTGGTGGTGAGAGGATGTACAGTAATGTTCTTCCAGAAACTTTCTGTCTTCACCCCACAATACTTGTTTTTAACTTAAAGGCCAAGAATTGGACGACGTTGTCCTCTAGTTCCACTCCTTCCAGCAAATGCCACTGGAGACTATATCCAGGGGCCTGAATGAATGAAATGGGTGAGGGTTATTGTTTCATAGGGACTATATGTTTGGGGCAAAACATCAATGAATGCTTCAGAACCACCATCACAGATTTTCTTCCTAGTGAATATTCCTCACCCTAAAGAGGAACAAAGGATCACAGTTCTCTCTCTCTCACCCCCCAAACGCTGCAGGAGGGCTGGAGACTGGGCGATGCTTCTCTTCCCTGCACTGGGAGTGGATACCATGCTGGCTCTTGTCTCCTTTCCCCGCCCCAGGTGGTTAAATGGCACAGGAGCAGGCAGAGTCTCCATGCAGCTAGGCCTGGCAAAGTCTCCATGAGCGGCTCTCAACCCTGACTGCACAGCAGGATCAACTCGAGGGCTTTAAAAACTTCCGGGTCCCACCTTAGAACAATTCATCAGAATTGCAGAGGACAGAGCTCGTACATTTTAGTAAGGCTCCTCCACATACGTGATTCTGACATACAACTAAGGTTGCGAATCACTGACCAGGGGCAGGGTTCTTCATGTTGACACTATTACAATTTTGAATCTGGTGATGCCTCGTTGGAGGGGAGGGGCCTGTCCTATGCATGGCAGGATCTTGAGCAGAGTCCCTGGCCTCTACCTAGCTGATGCTATAACATTCCCCTAGTCATGACAATAAAAAATGTCTCCCGATATTGCCAAATGCTCCCTTGAGCATTTCCTGCCCTCCAACTAGGCAAGAAGCCCTAGCTGAGAAAGTGAAAAGCTGGCATTGGCTAAAGAACTAAATGATATTCTCTCAGTTGTCATCTGACCTTTGGGCTTCAAAAGGAGAGATATTTGTTCCCTGAGCCTAAGTTTCTACTGGACCAATGCACCCTCTTGGTTCCTACATGCCCCTAAGCCTGCCCTACTTTTGTAGTGCAGTGTACACGGCAGGTTCAGGCCAGAGCTGGGAGGTGTCCCATACTCTAGCTCTGACCTCTCCATTCAAAGCAGTCTTTTTACAAATCCTTGACAGCTCTGAAATCCACCCTGACTTCTGGCCAAATCCACTTTCCCTTTGCACACACAGTTTCTCTCAGAGGGTCTAGACCTTACCCCTCGACCACCAGACTCTAATTCCAATTCTAGGACTTCGACCTGGTCTGCAAGGCAGACATGCACTGCGTAATGATTCTTTAAAACACCGTAGAGCTCCTGCGTGTTCTCAGCCTTGGCACTACTGATGTTTTGGACCAGATAATTCCTTCATGTGCAGTTTGCATAAAGAGTTGTGGGCTGTTTAGCAGTTTCCCTGGCCTCTATCCACAAGAAGCCAGGAGCAATTCATACTCTTCTCTCTACAGATTGTGAAAACCAAAACTATCTCCGGACATTGCCAAACGTCCCCTGGGGGACAAAAATCACCCCTGACAGAGGACAACTGATGTAGCATATACACTTGTACACAAGGCATAGGCTCAGGCATAGGCTCAGGTATTCAAAAAATGTGGTCGTTTTTCCTTCTCTGCAATGCAACCTAAACTTCCTTTGAAGCCCCCATTCTACGTGATAGCTGAAAACAGTCATTTTTAGGCCTTTTCAGTTATGTCAGGTAAAGTCAAGGAAATTCAGTGCTTCTCCCTTCTCAGTTCACATCTTAATAGTTTCTTCTAGATCCTGGGGCCTGGTGGGAGGGGCGAGGCTGAGGGGCAGCCTTCGACCTGTGATGGCAAACCCTGGGCCGCATCTCGCCTATTCATACCTCATCACAGGGCCCATGGGCTCTGCAGCAGCTCCTCAATGTAGCCACAGCATGCCCCCATCCCATCCCCAAGCTCTCTGTTGGTCTTCCTCTGAAAGTTTCCCAACAGAGCCTGGGAACTTTGGGCTGTCCTTGCTGTCCAAGGCCACAGACACTCAGCTGACTGTAACTGGCCTTTCCAACCTGGATTCTCCCTGACACCATCTGCTCACTGCTACCTCCACCTTGGCTGGTGCAGGCGAAGATGCTTGGGACCCTGGTTGCCTTCCCAGAAGCAAGCACAGAGTCCCTCTGTCCTGAAATCATGGGGCCTCGCTGGCCATTCTTTCAGTGCTCTCCCTTCAAGACACCCCATGGGCTAATCTCAGGAGGGAGGGCAAGACACCATGGGGTGGCAGTGGACGTGTCAGGGGGCTTTTTGCTTTTGTGTGTCACCCAGCATCCAAGCCCCCTTCCTATGTGACAACGCTGGCCATTTGGGGAGCTGGTGGAAAGCAGGCCCCCCACCTACCTTGGAATCCTGAGAGGTTAGACACCTGGGAGTCGCCAGCTGGTGGGCCATGACCCTCAGGACTTTCCATCTGCAGCCAGAGTCACAAAATGTCAGTTCCTCCTGCAGCATCTTTCAGTGACATCCACCATCCACCGCTGGCAGCGGGAATACCAGGGGCAAGTTGCTGCAGGCTTGGTGGCCACATTCTAACCAGGCGACTCTGGGAGGGGGCCTTGGCAGGGCTCTCACTATCAGAGTCTCTTGACTGCTCTCCATTTTCCAAATCTGTGTTTCCAGCCTTCCTAATATCCCTCTAATACATGTCTTTTCTCTTTAGGTTAGCCAGACTTCGTGTTTGTTATTTGCAGTCAGGGCCTGATCATGGCAAGCCCCTGTGTCCCACCTTATGCCTTCCTCCCACGCCGGGGGCTCTTCAGCCATCCAGGAGGGGCTGTGGGAGAGCCAGGCAGCTCTGACAAAACAGATGTTTCCCAAGTGTTCCCGTCTTGTCCCTCCGTGAGGGCTGTTTGTTTTGCTTTTCATTTAAAGCCGAGAATTTGATGTATTTCTTTTTGTCTAATTCAACTTTCATTTACTAAGATGGACCTGCTAAAAGACCTAAATATTAGTAAATCATATAAAGCATGGATGAGCTAAAAGGGTGTGGGTGGGTGTGGGGGGTGTACGCAAGTGTGTGCGTGTGTCTGTGAATTTAGGGGCATATCAAGTAATACTTCTCAAAATAATCTTTCCATATATCATTTAATCCTCACCAAAAGCCCCCAAAGAAAACATTATTACCTTAATAACACAGAAGGTGAAACTGAGGCTCCAAGATACTAACTAACATGCCACAGATCACAAAGGTGGTAGACATTGTATCCAGGGTCCAAGCTCTGACTGTCAGAGTCCAGAGTCTATGGATTTTCTGCCACAGCACATTCCACTGGTTCCCTAGACCAGGACCTTTTCTCTCCAGAAACACTGTCCAGGGAGTGTGTTGGCATTTCTACTGTCTCTTCCTGTCACCATCTGCATCACCAGCCTATAGATCTCACATTAGTCCAAGCACTCGCTACTGACACCACCAGAATGGCCAACCCTTGACATCCAGGGAGCAGCTTTGACCTCACGGGTGAAGCGGTGGGGTCTGGCTCCACAGGGATCAGATGGTCTTCTGTGCTGAGTACCTATAGCCAATTCTATAGACGTATCTTGCAAGGCCCATGCATCAGTTACCAGGATCCTGCACCCATTTTGTAGCCGGAATAATGTCCTAGCTCCCATCAGCAATTAACGGCGCACACAGAGAGGTATGACCAAACCCGGCAGCCATCCATTGTTTAGTCTACCCATTTGGCAACATTTTCTCCTGCAAGAGCAAAAAGACCATCTGAGGTGTGTGTTCAAGTCACTGACACTGAGAAAAATCGTCCCTGTGAAAGCTCTGGGGCGCCCTGAGTTTCCACCCATCTGGAGCAAAAGCACCACATTTGCAGATGCCTGTGGTTTGCCTAATTACATTTTCACAAACCCTTGGAAACCATTGAGTGCTTCAGCTGCACCACGCGTGTGGCTTAATGAGGTTTCGGAACCCTATATTATGAAATTGTCACAGGTTATTTGTCAGAAGGCAGCTGCCTTGGAATATAGCAGACTTAAAATTTGGGGTCCCCATATTTTCATGGCAATTCTTTGTAATTACAAAAATACTACATAATTCCAATTACATGCAACAAGTATTTTCAGAGCATTCATTTCAAACACACCTGAGTTTTCAAATTTTTGTGGAAATCCGAGCATTTGTTATTTCTCTTGAGGAACATCCTTGAGGGAGTGAAAAGTAACAGGCGCTGTTACCCTTATCCTGAGATCTGAAAAAGAAATAATGGTTTCCTAATATACAAGAGACCTTGAAATGAATTGATCTGTATTGATTTCTTTTCCTTGTAGCTGTATTAACTACTGTATACTCTAATGCTTACCCTTGTCACAAATTGTTTTTATCCTACTCTTTGCATTGATTACTTTTAAAGTGTATTTAATGTAAGCACTATCATCACTTGGTTATTATGGGATTGATGATATCATGAGTGGATTATTCTTGCCCTTTCCTGGTAGGTTATTTCTCCTCCCTTATTTCTCTTTCTGGCTCCTTGCTTTGTAATCCCGCTGTTGCTAATTATGAATTCTCTACACCAACTGGAGCATAACCACAGCCCCTACAGTCCCCGCTTAGGCCTAATAACACTCCTCTTGCCGAGTGGGCCTCCAGTCACCTGGAGCCACCAGGCCTCACTTAGAGCCTGGGCTCAGCCTCTCCAGGTGTCAGGAACTCTCACCCGTAGCAAGTGGGGCCCAGAAAGCAACTTCTATCATGCTTTGTCCAAAGGCCAAATGGCCTGGGGGTTAGCAAAAGCTCATTATTTAGAGAGCTTCTTGATCTTTAGGGGAGGGGTATGTGATTGTCCAAATTCCTTCTTTGTCCTGCCCTAGGGAGAACACAGCCTGCACGCTAGAAAATAATGAAATTAATTTATTATTCATGTGCACTGTACAGAATTTGGAAAATGCAGAAAAATAAACACATACACAAAATATTTGTGACGACGTAAACCAGAGATAAATCCAGGCTTTAACCTCTGTATATATGTCTATATATATTTAATGAAAAGGGATTACATCGTTATACTGTTTTGTTGGCTGATTTTTAAAATTAACAACATATTATTCATATTTTCACATGCCATGGAACATTATGCCAGATGACTGCTAAGTAGTATACTGTATAACTATATCATTAGATGTAATACTTAACCAATCTAACATGGCCTGTTTAGGATGAATTTTTTTACTGTAAATTATGTGTAATATAAAAAGATTTCCAAGGATATTTGTGCATATCTACTTATTTCCTTATTTATCATATAAATATTTTTATAGATCATATTTATACGATAATTTTCTTTTTTTTTTTTTTTTTTTTTTGAGACAGTCTTGCTCTGTCATCCGGGCTGGAGTGCATTAGCAGGATCTCAGTTCACTGCAAACTCCACCTCCCAGGTTCACACCATTCTCCTGCCTCAGCCTCCCGAGTAACTGGGACTACAGGTGCCCGCCACCTCGCCCGGCTAATTTTTTGTATTTTTAGTGGAGATGGAGTTTCACCGTGCTAGCCAGGATGGTCTCGATCTCCTGATTTGGTGATCCGCCCACCTTGGCCTCCCAAAGTGCTGGGATTATAGGCGTGAGCCACCGCCCCCGGCCTATACGATAATTTTCTAGAATTGGAATTGCTGCATCAGAAAATAAGTTTTAAAGTGAGGACTGGCTTCTTGACCTGGTTCTACCAGTTCTGCTCCTGGTGGCTAGGTCCTCCTACTGCTATTTTCTGCTACTCACACCACGTTGAGCAGAGTTGTATGGAGGTGCCTTTGGAAACACAGGTTCCAGGTTGCTCACCCCCATTTCTGGAGCTGCAGCCAAAAGATCTGCATAGCTCATCTTCTCCATGGCAATGCTTAGGAGCAGAGACGTTCATGAACCACCCAAGCTTCCATGGTCCATAACCCTGTTGAGTTAAATATGTACCTGGGGTTTGTTTTAATGTCAGGTATGGTAAGACAGCAGACGCAGAAATGACTGTTGTGAGGAAGGAAGTTTACACTCACAGATCCCCACGGGCATGGGGCATTTTAAGCTCCGCCATGCCGGAAAGACCAGGGATGGTCAGGAAATAAGAGAATGTGGGCACCGTGTGCCTGGGACTTTTACTGGGATTAACGAGGGAAGGAACAAGCGAGGCAGGGTAAGTAAGCTGAGTAAACTTAGTATTGGATACTTTAAATTATTTGAGTGACCCAGTGCTATAAGGGTGGTCCCTAGTTGTCAGGTCCCCCACCCTGGGGTGACAGGGAGCAGGGGGAAGATTGGTTTGGCGTGTGAGAGTTTGATGAAAGGGCTGGTTGGGGGTGTGATCTCTAGACTGGTTGGTTTATCAAAAACACGCTCACAGGGGAATTATTTGCTGTTTCTAGGAATTGGGTAGCCCTGGAAGGGACAGTCTCTCCAACATCAAAGCCCCAAATGCCAGAGTATCAAGAATACAGAAAATAGAGTTTAACCCTCTATCTACACGGAGCCTCTGCTCAGAACTCCCAAGTCCACTGCACCATTTCCTCTTTGGATGACAGCTTCCTTTGGAAACAGGTATTCACTAGAATTGAATTAGAATTTTGCTAGCCTCTCCTGCCTGATTACAGCTCCTCACTCCCAGAACTCCCAGCAGCTGGCACTAGACTCATCTGCCTGTAACACGCCCCTGAAGCCTCCTGACACCCGGAATGAGTTCCTATCAGAGTCAGCCTCCAGCTTACAGAAGAACAGCTATGACTGCTGAATTTGCTTCTGTGTCGGTTCACCTAACACTAAGCACAAAAAAGCTAAAACACCCAAGATCAAAACAGGTTTCCTTACTTGCAGCACCCTCTATGTAGAGGTCTCCTGGGGGAGAGGCTGAAATTCTTGGCAAGATCCCATTTATGAATTAGCTGTGGATCTGAAATGCCCCTGCATCCATATCTCTTCATTAGTATGGAATCAAATATTGCTTCTAATTATGGAATGAATGTTTTTTAAAAGAGAGAAGAAAATGAGTTTTATCACAATCCTTGTTATTTCTCTTTTGTAGGGAAAATCTAAAATTGGATCAAAAAGAAACAGAACTGTGAGCTTCCGACAGTTCTTCTTGTGATTGGATTACTAAATATTATTATTTCTATTCATAGTTTACATTGCTGCTGATAGAGCTGCTATTACCGGAAAACAAAAACACAACAAAAACCCTTTGAAATCTTCTTCAGCAAATTCTCTCAATAGGTAGGCGTCTTCCTATCTACTCTCAATTCTTTTCTGAGAGGTCGGCTAATTTTACCTTTTAAAATCATTGATATTTAAATCCAGTTGTTTTTTTTTTTTTTAATGTTTATCTACTTGCCAAGAATTGTCCAATCTTTTCTTGAGCACATCAGTAAAAATGTTCTTCTCTATTGTTGAGGCCGCAACTGTTCTCTGTAGCTGGAAATTGCCCCACTGGGGAGATAGGGGTACCCTCCCCTTCAGGGGCAGCCCCTGCATTTTATCTTTCTGTTTGTGAGCTGTGTTTGTTCCTGCATCACCTGACTCCCCTCCCATCTGTGTGCTGGAGCTCAGGGTTTCCTGTGTTATCAGCCTTCCCAAGTGCCCCCGTGCCCTTCCCGAGCGCGGCAGCCTCGGATCTGGGGGAGACGTCAGTACCATGGCTCCAGGGAGGGTGCTGCTCTCAGCCCTCTCAGAGCTAGCAACTCAAACACTTGCCCCTTCGTGAACAGGCAACAGGTGAGCAGGCCTCAGCAGCCCCAGCAGCCCGTGGGGCCCTGATAGAGCTCTTCTCACTGTTCACTGATGTCTCACTGCGTGCCAGGCTGCCCTGGAGTTTCATTGACGTATACCACATAGGCACCATTTGTCTTTCCAAGGCCCTAGAAATCTACTGCTTGTTCTGTTCCAGCCCTGCAGGCCAGGCGCTGGGCTGGAGCCATCTCTGTGGCTCCCTTCCCACCACCGCATGTAAATCAGAGCATCCAAGGAGCAGCAGAGACCATTTTAAGCAGTCTCTGGAAGCTGGATTTTGATGTAGTAATGTCCTTGTCAGAGATCAGCATCTCTTGTCCTTTTGTACACAGGTGAAAAATTCTAAGAACGGTAGCCCCAAGAAAGCTTTTCTTTCTCCCTGCCCCTGCCAATATTCCCCTGGATGGCTGGTGTTTCTTCTGAGCCCGACGCCGCACACTGGGGCCGCCCCTGCGGGCTTGCTCTGTTCCTTTGATGGCCACAGGAATGTAGATTCCTGTCTATTTCAGCTGAGCTCTCTCTACAGACTTTTCTAAACTGTTAAATGCTGAACTCTAGCCAGCATGATGCCGTTTCATTTTGCTTCAGCCCAGACCCAAAATACTAAAGCTCCTACAAAGACATTCAGACTGTGTTTCAGAAAGGAGAGAAATAAATACAAGTTTTAGATCACTTTGCAGGAGTGAAACTTAGATCTTTGCAAAGTCAGTATTGACCTGTGTTTAGAATGGGTTGAAAGATAAAACAAACTGGATTCGACTACTGAAAATATTACAAAAAGTCTCAGACATGCCATCATTCAGAGTTTCTAAAATGGCAGGGATAGGGCTTTAATAGGATTTCTCCCCACTTTTAAAATGGGTATGGTCATGCCAAAAGGAAAAATGTGAGAGCAGGATCACATCTTCTATCCCATGTGACCGTCTCTTTCTTCACAATTATCTTCATATTTGGCTCTGTGAACACCCACAGCAATCATGTCAGCTGCTGGTTCTGCAGTAAAAAATGTTCCGCATGGGTTTCAGTTGTAAACAGGTCATCCATCTCCCATGTGGTCAGAAACGGGTGTTCTCCCAAATTTGTACAAGGCTTGTTTCTCTGTCTCCGAAAGAATCTACATGCTCAGAGAAATCTCTCTGGCTCATCTGCCGAGTGTACGGAATTGCACGCGCATGGAAACAGAACATATTTTATCCAAGCAGGTAAGTGATATTCAGGGGCCTGTGCCCAGGCAGGAAGGGAGTAGAACACCCTTCATGGGATTGAGGGTTTGTTGTAACATTTTGTTTCCTATTCTATGGTTTGGGAAAAAGAGTGGGCAAAAACGGATTACAGGAGGACGCCTGCTTTTCTGGAGCTCACTTGTTTGTTGCCTTGCAATGCAGAATAACTTTCGTTTGTTTGGGGAAATGGGAACCAAAGACTGGAAACCTGGCTTTTGCAGGCCTCTTTCGAAACATGGAAGGCCTCTTCAACTTCTGAAGGTTTAGGAAGGGGCATTCTTGTCTTTATCACCCAACCAACCTGGCCTGTAGGTGTTTTTTGATCTGACATCCTTATTTCTTTATATTTTGTTTGGACTCTGGGCTCAGTAGTGCTCTGCTGAGGACATTCGTATCCATGTATCCAGGAAGTAGAGCAGTTGGCATTTTGAACAAAGGGCTTGAATACAAAACAAAACACATATTTTTGGACAGGTAAGGTGGCTCACACTTGTAATCTCAGCACTTTGAGAGACAGAGGCAGGAGGATCCCTTCACCCCAAGAGTTTCAGACTAGCCTGGACAAAAAATTTTAAAACATTAGCCAGTTGTGATAGCACATGCCCTGTAGTCCCAGCTACTTGGGAGGCTGAGGTGGGAGGATTGGTTTAGGAGGATTGGGAGGTTGAAGCTTCAGTGAGCTGCGATCGCACCACTGCACTCCAGCCAGGGTGACAGAACGAGACCCTGTTTCAAATACCCCAAAACCACGTATTTTCTAAACCTATGTGGCTGTGATAACCTACTTTATTATAGCATATTCCGCTTTTCTTTTTTTCCTAATAAGAAATGTGTTGAATACTGGTGTTCTTTTTTATGATTTGTTTAAAAATTTTCAAATTCAACAAATCATTAATATTTAAATAATACACTAAAATTGATGAGATATACTTCGTCAGAAGGTAGGCATGTGACTCCATAAATTTGGTTTTCTCTAGGCATTGAGTGAAGTGCATCATTGCTACTTGGGGAATTACAGTGATTCACATTCTGTGGGAATACGCTTGAGCAGAGGTCCCTCTTTGGCCAGGACATACACAGTGTGCCCGGTTAGGGATGCGGGCTCACAGGCTGAGCTTTGAAATGGCCACTCGCTGTGGAGAGTGGCAGCTTTGCCTGGCTGAGTACTGAGACCCCATCAAGAAACCAAAGGCAGCTGAAGGCAGGGGCTCACATGTGATTGATGCACAAATTTTAAAGAGGGGTTAAAGAGTTTCAAAATGTTCAGTAATGGATAGGATAGACTATTTCTTTTACGAACTTCCTCATAGCTCCCCATCTCCTTTTCATGTTTCCTGATTCAGTCTAAATTTGGAATGGTATAAAGACAAAAGAGGGAAAGAAAGTATGTCTAATACTTGGATGGTATTTTGACAGTTAATTCTCCACAGATACCTGGGCTGTCCGTCTGGCTTCACTTCACAATATCCTCTGAAGAGCGACTCACCAAGACCATCATTTTACAAGATAACATAGAATGTCTTTTACATCGGAAGAAGGAAATGTCTGTCTCTCAAAGTTGCTTTCTATATGGGCAAAGTAGCTACATCTAGTGTTTGAAGTACCAGACAGGATTAGGAAATTAATAACTTTTTATCTATACAAGACAGAATGTGATTGTGAACAGCTTCACAATGCTTGATTTTCAGCAGTTTAAATGGAATCTAAATTGCATGCAATAAATCAGTGACATCTTTGATTCATTATAGATAATCAAGAGGAACCTCTTCTGTTTATTGGTGCTAACGGATTCAGAGCAAACACCATAATCTATCAAAAGAAGGGAATGGCCGCTAGTTGGGGAGAAGATAGCTTTAGGTAACGGGCCATTGCCACCATACGCCGGGTGCTGCTGGGTGCCAAGAACTTTATTACTTGTTTCACAAGACCCCCATGTGATGGGTAATACAGTCCTCCAAAACACAGACATGAGGCAGAACAACTAGGTTTGAGGCATGTGACTTGGGAAGTAATTTACCTTCTCTGTGCTTCGGTTCCCCATCTGTAAAAGGAAGGTGATAGTAAGACATCCATGTTAGGCTTTAATAGAACCTGTCTCATTTAGAATAGGACCTGGCACATAGCTCTCACAATTAAGTTACCTATCGCCACCGCAGAAAGACAAACTGAGGTTCAGAGAGATTAAGTAACTTGCCAGGAACTACTGAGGCAGCAGGTAGCAGAGTTCAGATCCGAAGCCCAGCGTCACGAACTGTGTGACCCCATCCTTGCTCCCTAAGGGCTCCGTTGCCTTTCCCATTCTCCCCTGTGACAGCACGCAATGGAAACCCATAGACACAGAGTCCAGGGATTTTACTTTCGGGATTTGGGGGAGTTTATTGGTTGGGGGTTAGCTTTCTTTTTTTTTTCAAAAGATGTTCTAAATTATTATGAGTGGCATTGGACTGTCTTTTCTGCATAGAAATCTTGGTTTGGTTTGGTTTGATTTGACCAATGCCGGGCATTGACTAAAGAGCGAGCCATCACCTTGTCCAGGCCTTGGTGTTTGATGAGAGCAGATGGTGCTCTGTATTGGAAAGGCTGTGGAGAAAGTCACCCAGGTTGGCATTCTCTGGGGGTGAGATTGGAACCTAGGAACAGCCTCACCTTTCCCACTAGTCTACCAAAACCTGCCCTTTACTCTTCCTGCCCTTGACTGTAAGCACCAGTGGTTCTGACCACAGAGAAGCAAGGTCTCCAAGGCAACCATTGCAATGCCTATGACATTAACAAAGGTGGTTCCATTCCTTCCCTTAGCAGGTCAGTCCCATTGGTTTATTTATTTAGCAAGTATTTATTGGGCACTTCAGTGGCCAGCCAGATGCTACGTTCTGTGTAGAAAGACACAAGAAAGGTGCTAAGAAAATATCAATTCAGTTCAACACACTCATACCGATCACCTGCTCTGCTCAGAGCAATAAGCAGAAGACAGGGGCATCAGAGTGAGTGGGCTCTGGAGGAACTCACATTAATATGTCAGAGGAGCTATATCTGAAAGCAGGGCTAAGTCTTGTAAGAAATATTTTTCCAAAATGTTGCATGACTTTATAAGAGGGAGAGATCATTTCTCATTGGAGAGATAATAGGGAGGAGGAACTGGAAATATAGTAGGTTCCTGGAGGAAGTAAAATGTGAGCTGGACCCCATGGACCCAACCAGCTAACTGTGATATTGTGTGCATTTAAGAGTCAACATAGGCCCCAGACAACAGTGCAGAACAAACACTGGCCAAAAACCAGCAGTGCATATATCTGTTCTGCACTTCATCAGTCAACCAATTTGTTGGCCACCTTCAATGTGCCAACATTCTTAGTTACTCAGGAGACAGCACTAAACAATATGCATTCCTTGACCTCATAAAGTTTCTTGAAACATAATCAGAGTTAACATTGACTGAGTGCTTAAGAGTCAAGCACTTCCTAATCATTGCTGTCCAATAGAAATACAATGTAAGCCACATACATAATTTCTAGTTTTCTAATAGGCACAGTAAGTAACAGGTGAAATTAATGTTAACCATGTTTTTATTGAACTCTATTTGTAGTCCAAAATATTATCACTTTAGCATAAGTCTTTGCAATTTGGTTCAAGCAACCGTGCACCCGAGTTCCACAGACACACATGGAGTTCTCTAGAGCAGTGATCCCCAGCCTTTTTGGGACCAGGGACTGGTTTGGTGGAATACATTTTTTCCACAGATGGGGGTGGTTGTGGGAGGGGATGATTTTGGGGATGAAACTGTTCATCGGGCATTAGTTAGATTCTCATAAGGAGCGCACAACCTAGATCCCTCCATGCGTAGTTCACAATACTGTTCGAGCTGCTATGAGAATCTGATGCCATTGCTGATGTGACAGGAGGCAGAGCTCAGGGGATAACGCTCACTGGCTCACTGGCTCACTGTTCACCTCCTGCTGTACAACCTGGTTCTTTTCTTTTTAAAGTCTTGCTCTGTCGCTCAGGCTGGAGTACAGTGGCGCCATCTCCACTCACTGCAAGCTCCGCCTCCCGGGTTCACGCCATTCTCCTGCCTCAGCCTCCCGAGTAGCTAGGACTACAGGCGCCTGCGACCATGCCTGGCTAATTTTTTGTATTTTTAGTAGAGACGGGGTTTCACCGTGTTAGCCAGGATGGTCTTGATCTCCTGACCTCATGATCTGCCAGCCTTGGCCTCCCAAAGTGCTGGGACTACAGGTGTGAGCCACCGCGCCTGGCCGCAACCTGGTTCTTAACAGGCCCCGGACTGGTACTGGTCTATTTATCCTTCAGAGCCCTTCTCAGGTGTTATTTCTTCCGTAAACCTTCTTTGACCCCCACGGAGTCAGAGATGCCTGTGACCTTTCTACTGTTCAAATAGATCCTGGAATCATGTGTTTACTTGTTTGTCTCATCCATTAGAGACTAGAGTGTCTGATTGACTTTGAATTATTGGCATCCAGTGTGGGATTTTGTACAGAGTAGATTCTTAACCAAAATGTGGTGAGTTATTGTTTCTTAGTTAGGGAATGTCTCCTTAAGAAACTTACAATATGTCTGGAGTTTATTCCCTTTAGCAGTTACCACGTCTCTCCTTGAGTGAGAGGAGACCAGGCAGGTAAATTTCAGATGAAAGCTTGGGCAACAGCTGCAGGAGGAACCGCGGGAGCTGAGCATCTGGGATCAGACAGGAGGGCAGACAGACTTGAGCAGAGAAGATCACCGAGATACCAGTGGGTGAAGGAGCACTTGAGGAAGTCTGACTACCCTCTCAATGGAATTCCAGAAGCAGATAAGAGAGAAATGGGGGAGAGGCAATATATGAAACATTTTCCTCCTGGGAAGAAAGCTCAAAGGAAGTACGTGTTCTAACCATTTACCTGTAACTCCACTCGCGGCCTTGGAAAAAGTGACAAATCCTTCCATCTCCGTGTGGCAGCAGGATGCTTGCTTGCACAAGTCGTTGGCGGGGGCAGAAATCGCAGGGCAGGCGCAGTCCTGTCTAGAAATCAGGAAACTGAACTCTCATCCTGCTCTGCTACTGTTTAAAGTTAACGTTTAAAATTAGCGCAGGACTACAGAAAAAAAATAGGGCATCTAGAAATTCAAGGCCATGGTCTAGGATAAAAAAGAGCCTTTTGGGAAACGTAATTCCAGTATAACCAGGTCTTTTCAATACAAACAGCACTCCTGGTGCAGGCTGTGGCCACCCTGGGCCATATCCTTTTCTGAAGCCTTGTCTTCTAGATTTGGATTTATAAACAACATATAACTTGTTTTTTTCTTCTTTTTGTCTAGAGGAAATTGAATACATTCACATTGATTATGACTATATATTTAGACGCATTGCTACCATTTTATTTTGTGCATTCTGTTTGTCTCGGTTTTCTAATTGCTAATTCAAAAAAAAATGCTTTTTTTTTTTTATTTCTGGCCTTCTGCATTGTTTGAGAGTATTCTCCCTCCCCCACATTTTATTTTTGTCTCTCTATTACTTTGGTAATTATACATCCTAATTTCTATTCAGCTTTATCAGTCCTGAGAAAGTCTCAGTCATTAATGTTTCATATATTGCCTCTCCCCCATTTCTCCCTTATCTGCTTCTGGAATTCCATTGAGACAGTAGTCAGACTTGGTACTCACCCCTTGTGTCTCTTGACTCTGACCTAGAGCCCCCACATGCCAAATACCAGTCAGTACTATCGCCGGGTAATAGCTTTCTCTCCGTGTCTTTAGACTCCTGCTCTCCCCATACAAGCATGAGTGCAAACGAATTTAACTTTACAGAAGGGAGCTCATCAGGATTCTAGATGCCGTGGCAAGCCACTGAGGGAAGACAGGCCACCCCTGAGCTTAGTGACACTGCTGCCATATGAGATGACTTCCCCTCACCTGTAGTGCTCTGCCGACAGCTGGGGGACTGAAGCTAAGGGGTCTTCCCCACCGCTCACTGCTACACTTTGAATGTGTCTCTTAAAGCTCGTGTGTTGGAAATGTAATGCCCAGTGCAACAGCATAGAGAGCTGGGGCCTTAAAGAGGTGGTTAGGTCATGAGGGTTCCATCCTCGTGAATAGATTAATGCCATCTTGGGAGTGGGCTCCTGACAAAAGGCTGAGTTTGGATGCTCCCTCCCTCTCCCTCCTCTGCTCCTTCCTCCGCATCCCCATTCTCTCTCCACCTTCTGCCATTAGATGATATGGGTCTCACCAAATGTGGGCCCCTTGACCATGAACTTTTGGAACTCCCCTCCAGAACTGGAAGAAATAAATCTCTGTTCTTTATAAATTACCCAGTCTCAGGTATTCTGCTAGAGCAGCACAACACGGACTAAGACGTTCCCCCTCAGTAACACTGAGTCCTGGGAAGCCCAGTGCACCTGGCCTGACCCCGTTACTATCATCATCCATTGATGCAGGTTTATTCAAACACCAGAAAGTTCATCTCTACAGCTCCTCCTTTATCAGAGCGGGGCCAGTTTGTGGTCATCCTCCTCTCACGTGGGCATCAGTGAGGTTGGATGTACACGCTGGCTCAAATTACAAAGTCTGCACCTGCCTTCCAGCAAGAATCCCAGTCTCTCCTGGGATAGGAAGTCACTTCACCGACACATTTCCAAGGTTCTCAAAGGTGTGTCCTCATACCTCTGTCCAGGAGGCGCCCATTCTAAGTTCAACATGAAGATTCCACCCCTCCTCTTCCTACTCCCAACCCCGGGGACCCTGACATGCCTCCTGCCATCTCACTGACAGCAGCAGAGCTGGGAGCAGCAGCTGCAAAATGCCCACCTGCCTGGGCATCTGGCGAGCTCCTACCCCGCCAGCCCTCATGCAGGATGGTGGAGAGAAACCCGTGGCACTGCCATGCGCTCCTTCAGACCAATGTGTCCCCCGCCCAGCGTTACAGCCCTTTGTTTCCACACACACTTATCAGGGTACCCCCAGACCCTGTGCCAACCCTCCAGCCTTCTTGGGGTGTGTCCCCAGACTCTTGCATTCCTCCTGTGAGTTCCTTCTCAGGACGCCTGTGAGCTTTTCCTGAAATGCGGCTTTTCCTGAAATGTGGCTTTTCCTGAAGTGTGACTTTTCCTGCGATTTTTATTTTTGTCTTTAAAAGTTCAGTGCTGTGCTAAAGTTCCAGTCCATTTTCTCCCAGGAGGTTTCACAGAATAGTGCGATTTTTCATCAATTCCAAAATATATTTTCACTTCCTATTTTCACTCGCTCGTGTCTCTGAAACCAACATGCGTTAGTGCTGATGGTTTTTAACAATTGGAATTGACAGAAACTTTTAAAATTACCGGTACCTACAATAATGGCACCTTCTACAACTGGTGGCATCTTGGAGTTAATAAAATACAGCAACTTTGTAGCTGGACAGAAGTGCCTGGGCTAACCGCAGCACCCGGTATCACCAGTTCACAGAATCCAGACCCCAAATGCACCTCAGCACACACCCCGCCTGCTCTGTCTGCCAGTGCCTACCCCACTCACCGAGGACACTTGGGACTCCTAACCACCACCAGTGTTTCCTCTTATTTCCGGAGAAAGTATGAGTACATGAGAGAAAGGACAACCACAATCATCATCACATCTAAGGGGACAGCTGCTCACTAGACGATTACTATAGACTGTATTACTGGTTTTTGGTTTTTTGTTTTTGAGACAGAGTCTCCTCTGTCGCCCAGGGTGGAGTACAGTGGTACGATCTCAGCTCACTGCAACCTCCGCCTCCCAGGTTCAAGCGATTCTCCTGTCTCAGCCTCCCGAATAGCTGGGATTGTAGGTGCCCAGCACCATGCCTGGCTAATTTTTGTATTTTTAGTAGAGACGGGATTTCACCATGGTGGCCAGGCTGGTCTCAAACTCCTGACCTCAGGCTTACTATAGACTGTGTTACCGTTATTATTAAAGGCATCGAAGTGCCTGGATTATAGAAAGGAGCCAAGGGACTCATATATGCCCAAAGCCGTGTCCCCATAAAGTCCCCAGCCAATACCTCCCTGCTCTGTATGGCATCTCTTCCAGCCTTTGAGGGGTGCTGGTAAAAGAAGTTGTTCATCTAACCTATAGACAGTATTTCTGTAGTTAATGCAATCCACAGACAGCCTTTCTTTAGTAAGCCCTTTTTAGTAAGCTCGCAGTTTATTTTTCTCTAAGGTCAATTAAGATCTTGAACCGTCGGCAGGATGCAGTGGCTCAGGCCTGTAATTCCAGCACTTTGGAAGACTGAAGTGAGAAGATCGCTTGAGGCCAGGGGTTCCAGACCAGCCTGGGCAACATGGTGAGATGCCGTCTACACAATAAAAAATTTTAAATTAGCCAGGTGTGGTGGCGAATGCCTGTAGCCCCTGCTACTCAGTAGGCGTAGGCAGGAGGATTGCCTGAGCCAAGAGGTTGAGGCTGCAGTAAGCTGGGATCATGCCACTGCACTCCAGCCTGGACAACAGAATGAGGCCCTATAAAATAAACAAAAACAAAAAACCCTTCAACTGTCTATGCAAGCCAGCATGGCAGGCTGACACCCACAAAGAACTTGTCGAGATTCTAGTACATTTGTGCAATGGTCAACAAATCTTACATAATTTCTCTTCTTTTTTATTTTAAGAAGGATAACATACGGTTCACACTCAGATCTGCCCTGATCAATGAACAATAATTGGAAAACAACCATAAGATTGTGGCAGTGCATGTAAACACTGCGCACTGTTTTAAAAAATAATTTGGCCTCTAAAATTTTCTATTTAGCCACCTTTAATCGTAGTTACCAGCATATTTGCTCTTCTTACTCACATCCATCTCCTTTTACTGCTTCCCTGAACTCGAAAAAATACCTCCCTTCACGGGCAGGATTGAGGATTGGATTTCGTCTGGGAGACCTCAGAACGGAGTTGTTCTCCATGTAGCACTCGACTCATTCTAGCCATGACATCCCTACCCCAGCGGCAGCTGCAACCTGCTGTGTCCCACATGCAGCTAAAGCCATC